CACATTTTCCGTGCTCCAAAATCTCTTCCCCATTCTTTTACTGTACATAGTTCAATGATGAATAAAAGTGCAAACTTTGCGTGCTTAGAAGCATTTGAAAACCGTTTTCCATTCCCAGTAATATCCGAGTAATAATTATTTACATCGGTAAACGAACTAGAGATTTGATTTGATTGAAATGCTAACTAATTAGCTAGTTCTGGTTCCTCAACCAAACTTGTTACAAACTTGCTGTTGTAGCTGCCCTGCGTTGACCGCTGGCCGAGTATAAATAATCAAGACTAGACATCATTTAACACACATCATCACTTCCAGGTGACTTTTTTTTTAATTCAAGAGGAGGGGCGGTGTATTTGACCTACGTTGTGATTCAACACTACTTGCATGACGATTCACTCGCAAAGGAAAAGTCTGATCATCAAATTCTCTAACAGACTGAAATTACACAAAACAATTTTTGACACCTTTTTCAGATCCAATGACTGATTTCATAAATCCAAACTGCAAGAGTTACAGAAATAACTACAATTTCCCAGTGGTACATCAGGGTCTTAAAAAATGTACATTTACAAATCTTTATAATATTCTTTTATTGAAAAATCTGTAAACACCGTTTGACCAACAAAATAAAAGAAAATGATAATCAAATAAAGTTTGCGTTATATTGTTTCATTAATATCATTAATATCATGGAAATTAAACATTTACTGAAGGCATATTGTATAAGTTTCAAAGAAAAATTCCCAAAAAATCAGTTTGTGTTCATTTGGAGAAGTCAATCGATCAGTTGTGGCTTAATTAAAAAGATTCTTGTATTGCTTATTCTCTTGGCCAGTCTATCTGGTCATCACGTTACTGCAACAGTAGTCAGCCATCATGCATGTATTTCATCGCCCCCTGGTGCCGCGATTCAATTTACTTGTTCAATATTAGTGCTTTCAATATTCAATATTGATTGGCACTCCCCTTGTAACGTCTGCAAAATAGCAGTTTGAAATGTGTGACGATATATGTATGAAGATAGACTATAGTACCGTCTACAGCCTCCAAAAGGTGTTGCTGTTCCCCATACATATGTAGCTCATTGCAGAAGCAAATGTTCCGGCTTTCTAGTAAGCTGGTGAACATCAATAAGACAACATGGCAACAGACAAATATGGGCAATGGTGGTTTTTCTGGAGGGAAAATGTAAGTACTACATCAGGGTCTACATATAAATGAGGTTAGTTGGCATATGTGGGTAGTCATCACAAAGTTGCTGATCCGTGTTTCGATGAGTGTCAGAAATCAAGGGGACTGTTCATTAATTACACAACGCAAATTTGGAGGATTTTTAATACTCCATCTACGCATTGTAACCCGCGCTTGAACGCCCCTTAAATAATTACGTAACGCTCGCAACAACCCTTTTGTAAACACAGAAAGTGAATATAAATGATAGCACATTAAAAACAGTTTGTATTCGTTTTATTTGTGATGTATATTAAAATTTACGATATTTAAAGTGGGAATTAGTTAACGATGCTGACTGCACCTCGTGTTCCTAAAATTGGTGACAAGATGTTAGCGAAGGAAAGCCTCGTTTGCGAGAAACTTTTTGATCACACGCCGTGCACACACAGGCGAGCGTCTACTGCGCTGATTTAAATATATTCTAGAATACTTGCGTACTAATCAGTTTTGAATATTATCAATAATCACACAGATTCAATAAAAATTGATGAAAAAATATTTCCACATACTGTAAACAATTACATCTAATAATTAATAATTTGTTTTGAAAGCAAATTAATTAGTTAATATTTTAATGTTTTAGTATAAGACTCAAAAAAGAAATTATTTCAGCAAATATTGAAAATTTTAAATAACTACCAATGTTACGTAACACTAAACAGATACTCCCTTTCCTTATGTAACGCATCGTAACGCTGCCTCAACCCCTTCCTCCCCCCTCTTCAGCGTTACGTTATTGGTGGACGACCCCAAAGCCGTCAGGGTCTGTGCTGAGAAACGCAAAAGCACCGGGAGTCCAGCAAATGCACGCCAACCAAACAATGCTAATCACGCCAATGGCTTGACAACCAACCGGCTAATCACGTTTAATGAGTTATAGATGGCAACATGTCTCTCGTTGCCATTCTCCACCTTATCATCGATGAGGATTTGAAGATGAAGATGGTAGGTGCACCCTACCCTCAGCATTGCGCAGAAACAGAAGCATGTGGAGATGTGCCAACAGTAGGTTAAACAGTGATGTGCAGATCCAGCGGGTTTCTTGATATGCTTACGCGCTGTCGAAGACGCAATCCTATATTCACGTATTGCGGGAAGCGGTTAGCTAAGAGCGCAATACTTGTTTCGTATTGCGCAATACGCGGCTCAAAATAAATATTTGAGTGGCTCATGAGCAGGGCTCGGATTCCTAAAAATTCTTTGAAAATGTCTCATAAAACAACTTAAAATAAGAGGACATGACCTATAAAATGATTTAAAAATAAGGGGAAATGACCTATTTTTTAAAATATTCGCAAAAAAGTCTATAAATGCGTTTATTTATTCAATGAATTGTACAATGTTAAATACAATTGGGTGATACAAAATTATATTTTATATCACCAAATATATATATATATATATATATATATATATATATATATATATATATATATATATAGGAGGAAATGTAATTCTTAGCTCCGATCTTCAAACCGCCAATTTTGAATAGTCGAGGAAGTTACGAAGATCTGCGTAATTTTGAGAGTTCGAAAAGCAGAATCTATTTCACTAGAGAATTTCATTATGAACAGATGATACAATAAAAACTTTGTTTTAGTGTGTCATTGCAAATTCATGAAACATTCAGTAACAAATAAAAACACGAAAAGGAAACAAAATACGTAAAAATGACGGAAAGGTCCAGAAAATGACCTAAAAATCAAAAATGACCCAATAATTGTATATTTCAATCACCTGTATGACATGATAAAAATTCATTTACAAGTTAGCTACGTCTAGAATACATCAGTCATCAGATTCCGAGCCCTGCTCATAAGAAGAGACCAGATTTTTATGTAATTACATTTTTTTGGCTTTCTACTTACTGTCCTCAAACTTGTAATCTTGGCGAATCGTCCTAACACATTAGCCAATTTTTGTTACATATTTGTACATATTTAGTATTATATTACATATTCTACATATTTTTCTATTTTGACACAATATTAAAGTAAATCAAACATGCCTTCGTTTAAATACCAATATTTTTTAAAATATTAATTTACTTTTAACGATTTACTGTACTTAACGGCTTGCTATTGAAGTTAATCAAAATAATTTCTACTTTTTATATTTTCTCTCCCCTCCCCTCTATTTTCTCTATATCTTTGTAATTAATGGAGTGGCTAGCTCTGATTTTATTTAATTTTGTGTGTGTTCGGGAGGTGAACAATTTAATTATTCTTTGGGAATCTTCGTTACTAATAAATTAAACAATCTACAAATTCTGATCATGACTTGCCAGCGACAGTAGGTTAAGACTGACACGATTTTTTTATTTCGACTTCATAATTAATTTGGCTCAACAATGTATTTTTCTATTTTTTCTATTGCTGGGCTAATAAATTCCTACCGGCAAAACACACATAATAATTCTTTCTTAATCTTAATGTCAACTTAATATTTATATATGACTTGGCCTTCTTATAATATTTTTATTAATGTCTGACACTTATGTCCTAAACTTCGCTTTTGCATTATGTACAGTAATCTTGGCGTTGTTAACGACATCAGCGTCTGTTCCAATTCCATCTGGACCTCTTCTTATGTCCAAACTGAATTTCAACATATAAAATGTCTATTCTTATTCGCGATCTTTTTATCCCACGAATGTTACAGACTTTTTTTTTTTCGAAAAATCTCATAAATTATTTCGCTATTCTTCCGTTACTCGTAGACCACATGTCCGTTTTCTATACCTCGGACTAATCACAAAAATATTACTACACAATGCCTTTATAGCCATCGAACCTCAACCTTCCGAATCGGAGATCTTTCTGTCTGAAATTTCTCGTTTACACTTTCTATCTGGCCTCGCCCGTTCACTTATTTGCTTGTTATCTTTCTTCCTCAATACGCAAACGCAACTACATACCGCAAGTGTTATTTGTCGCCTATCAACAATGTCTTATAATATTTGTTTGCTATATTTTCGAAAAATGTTCTAAATTATCCAAATTTTATTAAATCTAATTAATATTTGGATTTTTTGATACTTTACGTATCTCAACGCCTCATATTAATTTACTTCACAGCCCAATTCCTTATATTTTGCGAGCTATTTGACATTAATATTTTTGCTTCTAAATGCCAAAAATCCTTTTAGGTATTTTGCCTCGCCTCAATAATTTTTTTTATTATTTCATCAATTTTTTTCGATTTTCTGACATATTTTTTATGAAAAGAAGTATTTTTAAAAAATCAGCATTTGTTCCTACTATCTATAGGCGAAATCTTTGTGTGACAATTATCAATGACGCATATTGTGATCTTTAACCTGAATTACCGAGAAAAATTAGCGACCGCCGAAAGGCGTGAGAATTTTGCATGCTGCAGTGATCGGTCGTAGATATCGCTGGTCGCTGAAGTGCTGGTCGTAGATTTTGCCAGTTTGATTTGTTCTATTGCGTCTAGTCTGGCTGTTAAACTAGTTCTGGATAGCCATAGAAGGAGGAGAAAATTGACGAGAAAATTGTATGATGCAAAGTGTCAACTTGTGTCAACTTGTGCATCAACTTGTGCTCTTCAAAAGGTTTTTGAAATGTTTGTATTAATTTTAAAATATATGGAGGACATTTTTATAATTATTTAATATTATATAACATTTATTAGTATATAATTGTTTTTAATTGGATTATTTTAATATTAAGTATTATGTCCGATTTTCCACGTTTTTTACATATTCTTATTGTGTTCAGTACATATTCATGTACATATTTGGACGTTTAATACTGCATATTTGTCCGGTCTCTCCTCGTGAGCGTCGCCCATATCGAGCCACTGCGCTGCTCTGAATTGCGCGTCCGATTCGCCAGCCGTCCCGCAGAACGGCTCACGCGACCGGGGGCGGCGGCGCGGGGGCGGCAAGCGGGGGCGGCACGGAGTCTGCGCGTGGGAGGGCGGCGCAGCTGCCACCGCCACCGCCGCCAAGACGATCCTTCCCCTCTCGCCCTTGCACCAAATAGAAGGGGTAAGCCGGGAAGGTCTTTCTGCAGTGGTTCAAACACTCGATCCTCCTTGCTTGAGCGGTTAGATATCGGTTACATCCGATGCTAAGAAATACAGTCGACTCCGGTTATAGCCAACTTCTGGGGACTAATATTTTTGGTTCAATGCATAAGAGGTTCATTCTATCCGATAATGTCCAAATTAAATAGAATTTCTCCATAACGATTGGTTTTATTAATATAGAGATAGAGGGAAATACACACAGCACGGAATGAAAATTTCAATATCTTCATTTGTCATTAAAAATCTTCATTTGTCATTAAAAATCTTCATTTGTCATTAAAAATCTTCATTTGTCATTAAAAATCATTTGTCATTAAAAAATCTTCATTTTTCATTAAAAAATCTGCAATTCAATTGTTTGCTTGGTAAATTTTTCATTAGTAATTTCTCTATATGCTTCTCCAGAGTTTGTGCTGTCTCCATTCATGATTCTGCATTGTCTTCAATGTCTAAGTACCGTAATGCTGTCTTGGCACCCTTCAATACCGCTTGCACTGTTCGAACACCATCCTACTCTCCGGACGCCCTATTAATCGTCCAACATTTGCAGGGCGCCTTAATTTCTAAGACATTGTATTTTCTACGCTCACTTTATTTGAGGTTCAGTTTCATTATAATCGAATCTTCTTATGCTTATTTGCAATGTAGGTGAAACGGGATCAGTGACTTAAGTTCACTATAACAGGAGTCGACTTAAGTTATTTTTTTTTCAATGTAAGGTTAGAATAGATACCGCAAGGATAATTTCATATATATTTTTAAAAGTCGTTGAGAAAACTCGTTTATTGTTTCAAAAAAAAAAAACACAAATGAAACGTACACTAACTACCAAAATTCTTTTTTGCATTTTTGTTTCATAAAGGAGATCCTTCATAATCTCACGAAGAAGTATACTTAAAAAAACACTTATTCCCATCTAAAATGCCTCGCTAACATACCCTGTTTCTCTTTTCAAATTTTCGGAATTACAATAAGCTGGAGAGGAGCTGCAACAGAAATGGAAACTCTACCGTACGCGGTGAGAATATGCCAGTCTGTATTTCTTGTGCTTTGGCTCTCTACTGATGAATATCGGTACCTTGACTGGTAATGAAACTTCTCCAAATTGTAAACATGTTGGTCACGGCCTACAGAAGTTACGCATTTTAGCGTCAAACTTTGAGATAAATGAATGTCCGTGAGTGGTGTGTATTTGCTGTTTTGAGAAGTGTTGGTATTGTTGCATAGACCTGGATTCAGTGAATGCTGAATGTGACCAAGTAGGCAAATATGTCATTACCTATATATTAAGAGAAAACACACCGAAAGAGGTGATTGTTTATCTTAGAGTTTGTGAGGGTTATGATACACTGGTTACAAGTTCAGCTCTGGGCGTGATTATGCCTTCGCTTGTGCGCTTACGCGCAAGTTTTCTTGATATTCCATAGTGCGGGCACGGGGAGAGGAGGGCTCTGGCTACATCATGGCTTGAAAGGGCGTACCAACTGTGGGCATGAATTGAACTCACCAAAGCGTACCATGAGAAATGCTACGATTGTTTTGAAAATACGATGCGGTTGTTGCCAGCATTGTACATTGGTACGTGCGAACCTAAGTATCCCAACGTGCCGTGCTATTCAGCGCTGGATGAGATCTAAGGAGCTCGTGTACCAAGAAAACTTGCGCAAATAATACTTCGCATTTTCCAGACATGATTCGTGTTTATATCAGAAATCTTAGTGACGGAACCTACAAATTGTGTCTGAAGAAATTGATCTGAATGAGAAATGCCTTGGAAGAATTTAACCAAACGAAAATTGCAGTTAACAAATCAGCAGGAGCATATGTAAGGTCATAAAATACCCTTTGGTAGACGAACTCAGCAAGAAAAATGTGATGCCTGCTCGGTACAAGTGAAAAGAATGTGAAAGGGGAATGTGCTCGTGTGAAAGATACTACACAGAAGAAGGAAAGTGTTAAGAAGTCAAGGGGTTCAAATCAAATAATGGAGTTGCCATCGACTTACGAAGATTTTAAGATTCCAAAAGACGAGAGTGACGAATTCTTGCATTCGCTTGATAATATCCTAGAAAATGATCATATACCGGCCACATATTGAGCCGGTCATAAAAATCATTTGGCTCTTCGTATTTTGAGATTGTGCATGTTGTTCTCTAGAAAGCTTTTGAATCAAGGAAGATCTGTTATTTTAGGAAAGCTGTTGAGGCATTATGGAACTTAATGTATATCGGGTATAGGTTCCAGCGAAACGCAATCCATTTAAGTTAACTTAAAAATAATCATACTAGAACAATTAAAGCAAAATTAGTGCATCCTTATTTATCTACAGGTGGTTTCAATCAAAATGGAATAAAATTCACGATTGTTATAACGATTAATTTATTTTTTAATGTTAAGTTGTATTTAAAAGAAAAGCTCTCCTTTAAGACATGCTTTAAGACGCTTATAAACAACAAAACATAACGTTGTCACGTGAAAATTAAAGATGGGAAAGTGCAATGTGTCTGAACTTTAAAGATGAAATTATATATTTTGCAATGATTTTACCATTTATATTTTACGATGAGAAGATACTCCAAGCATATTACATAAATTAAGGTTTGACTGACATCATACAGTTCCCTGAATGATGTCAGTCAACTGTATCATTGAACAACACAACACTTCTAGCTTGTGTTCACTCAATATCACGCGAAAATAATTTATAAAACAACCGATTCTATTAACATATTTACGAGTGCAGTGCTTCATCAAACACATACAAGTTTTCGAATAATGAAAAACTGACTTTAAACGAGAATAAATAAAACGTAATACTATGAAGGAATCATAACAACTGTTACCAGAATAGTGTAGGTGACAGAATAGAATAATTTGGTGAAATGAACGTAATGAGATTGCCAAGTACTAAAATTGCGTATTGTATATTTGAATCTTACTCCACTACACCACCGTGAGGGGTGGCTCAGTGAGCTCTTCTGAACAGAAAGTAATAGGTTCGACTCCAGACAGTGGCTTGTCATCTAGATCGAATTCAGTCGCTGTCTGGAGGAGAATTCTACAGGCCGGCTGCTCTGATCGGTTGTTTTCCGTGTTTTCTCGGATCAACACCAGGCAAATGCTGGAGCAGAACACTAACAACCGGGCTATGGTTCGATCTTTCATCCCTCTTCCTTGTCCTATCCTCACCCCTTTCTTACACACACTAACATGCACTACGCTACCACACATACCGGTAGACCGGTCGGGAGCTTAGAGCTTGTCCCACGGGTCTCCTACCTATCCCGCCTCTCTCCCACCTTAGGGCGATGCTCCGCTGGTGGGATGTACCTGGTTGGGGAAACCCCTCCAGAAAAAGGTCGGCGCCGGATCTCGCCATCCAGCAGGGGAAGACCACAGCCACCTCCAGAGCAAAAACGTGCACGACACTTACGGGACTCACCGCCCTTGGTAGTTGACGCGCACGGAAACACTAACAATCAGTCCACTAAATCATGTTACTATCATGCTCACATTTTATTGTCTGCTCATGATTTGCCAACAGTTTTTCTCCGCTCAATAACATCCAGCAGATAATCGTGAATTTTCGCCGTAAGTGTCATTCAGATTAAGTGTTTAGGTGGAATAAATAATGACCTCGATTCAGTCAGCAATGAAGGCTTGTTATTCAATTCATGTAATTGCACTTAAGTGAAAAGAGAGTCGTCTCAGAAAAATGATGGCGTCGTTTCGCTGATGCAATCACGGCATTTGAAGGTTATACTGATTCAATGTGTCCTGTCATCATGGCTTCAGTGTGCAACAACACTAATGTATGATTCTTCTAATGTTCATCAGTGACGTGAATGTAGTTTAGCTAAAAGATAATCATATTTAGATTATTCATGAATAATATAAATTAAGGTAAATTAAATAGTTGCAATCATTGCTTTCAAATTATTGTATATTAAATACAAATGTGAATTATAATGTGTATACTTTATAATGTGTTTAGAAGAGACTTAAAGAAGGGTTTCTTATTTCCTAAGAAGGTATTCGGGAGGAGTCATGAAGATACTTTTGAAATGGGTAAACCGTATCTTAGGTGTTCGCCCTTATTTTCTATGACTTTGCGCAAGATGTTCGGCCTGTTACACAGCGCAAAGCGCACAACGCATTGAGCTAGTAGGTGCCGCTCTAAATTGTAACGTCTGTACTGAAGTTTCAGAATTTGTATGGCTACAGTTTTGACTTGGTAAAGACTTGGATCAACTTTCATTTCAATGGATAAAGAAGTTTAAATGCTTGCTGTCTTTGTATGATATGCACTTTACAAATTTTAAACGAGACTGTATTCAATTTAAAAAAAATATATTAATAATGATTTTATTGTCATTGTGTGAACAAATTTCTTCGTGTTTGATACACATCTTCAAGTATATAAATTTTAACCAAAATGAAAAAGTTTACATTAACAATATCAGCTTTTATCGATAAAGCGGAAGCAGCGTTGTAGGCCCTAAAGAGAGGCAGTAAAAAAACCTGCACAATTAAACTGAGTCATTATGCTACACTTTCTGCCCATATTATTTCTCAGAGGAATCAACCCATCTTCTTTCAGTCAGTCAGTCAGTCATATTTTTTATTTGATGACGCAATGAACCTCACTTGGTGTTTGAACAAGTATTTCACGTTATAGAACTCGTTAAATCGCAGGAACTAGTGTGATCCTGCATTGCCGTAGCTGTTCAGTATGCACACTGCTTCCCAACCTAGTATTTAGCAAAGACGTCTTCCACCTTTGTGCAGTGCAAAAATCTACATAATTTAAAAGATTAATGAATTTCGGAAAACACATACATTTCATAGAACCGTTACTGTGTCAGAATGTTCCATCAAATCAAGACACAACCTAGCATAATTTGATGACGTACACCTCGCGAACCGTAGTTCATTTAATGCCTAAGTGCTGCATGGAAAGTGGAAAAACACCAAACACATCACAGATATGAAGACGACAAACTGAACACAAAAATTATTCACATTGCACCAATCGTCAAAACGCTTATCTCGAATGATGTAAAACTCTGCGAAAAAGCTGTTAATATCAGTGGGTATGATATGAGTACCAATAAATGTTCCGGCCTGTCTTGTCTTCACGGCACTGATACGAATGGGCGGATCCGTGGAGAAAGCGCCTACCTTGGTTATGTCGCCTACCTTGGTTGAGGCCACTTTTCATAGTTCTTTCCACCGCGCGGCAGTAGAGTCTCTGTACGTGTTTGGACGCAGTGCGCGCGCTCAAATTTCTGTCGTGAAGGGACATGGAGTAGGAATGCAACATCGACAACAAAACATGGGTGTTTCAAAGATAATAAATCTTCCATGCACTTAAAAGGTGTCTTTTTGATATTTTTGACCACTGATATTTCTACAAAACGTCATTTAGTAACCTCTAACGTTTGCGTTCATGCAGAGGGAAATTTAATTTAACAATGATCGCGTTTATTAATTTGTATTTAAGTCTGTGAGCCAATACTCATGTGTTGACCACCTCTCCGTGTGCGAAATACGTGGAAACACGTAGTAAACATCTGAACATCGGTGTCAACGCTCGGAGGAGAGAGAGCGGGACGAAAGTAGTGCAAACAGCTTGTGTTTCGTTCGTACACATTATTTCAAAGTGATAATATCAGTTATTATTTCATATTCCAACACGAACGAATTTGTAACTATGCAACTTTTTAATTCACAAACAAAACATGGAAAATGTAAAAACATCGAGCACAGAAAACATAAAAGTTCAAAACAACGGCATTGTCAATCGATGTTTTAAACACTGAATTTCAAAACACTGAATTTCAAAACATTGAATTTCAAAACATTGACGTTTAAAACATTAATGTTTAAAACGTCGATGTTTAAAACGTCGATGTTTAAAACGTCGATGTTTAAAACGTCGATGTTTAAAACGTTGATGTTTAAAACGTTGATGTTTAAAACGTTGATGTTTAAAACGTCGATTCTTAAAACGTCGATGTTTAAAACGTCGCTGTTTAAAACGTCGATGTTTTTTATAAACACGGATGTTTTGGAAGCACGAGGCGCGTGGCTCACCTGCGCGGCGCCGCAGAGGGCGAGGAGCGCTAGCAGCGCGAGGGCGGGCGCGTGGAGCTGCATGGCGGCGGATGGTTGCTCGGTCAGTGCGACACCGCGCGGGCGACGCCTCTATTTGTAACATCGGCGGCGGCGGTGGCGGTGGCGGCGGCGGCGCCGCAGCGCCGGGGGCGGAGGTGGCGACGCCACGGGGGGAGGGGGCGGCCCAGCGCCGGCTGCAGCAGGGCGACCTTCCCCATTCCATTGTCCCGTGGCCAGGTCAATTCAATTGTCCAATTGGCCGCATCTGCCGGCCGCCGCCGCCGCCCATTGGAGCGAGCTGCAGCGAGCATGCTGATGCGGGGGCGGCGACGCCAAGATAGGCGGGGCGGTGGTGGTGATGATTGCTACGAAGATGGTGTTTGGGGCTGATGTAATGGGTTCTCTCTGTGTAAAAGTTCTACGCGTTTTACAGGTACAAACGAGAGGGGAAATGTTTAATTGGAAGATAATAAAAGACGGTGATGTGGAAAATACAGGTTTATTCAGATATGCGCGTTAATCCTTTCCGAAAGAGATGACGCTGAGAAAATGAGGTGAACGTGATTATAAGAAATAGATGAACACCAAAGGACTGAGGTGAGGAGGTTAAATGAGTCGGTTAATGAGAACACATTACGCAAACCTAGAATTGACACAATATTTCATGCGAATGTTACAGGAATAAAAAGAAATAAATTTGCACTTTCAATGAAGAGTTAACTATGGCTGGCGAGGAGTCAAGATGCTCAAGCAAATTTCCAAAGAATGTTAGGTTTACTTAGAAGCCCTAAGAGATGATGCCAAGTAACAACGAATGCAAGGAAGAAGAAAGTATGACGTTGTAAATAACGATGGGGTGTGATGTACATGTGTGTGTTTGGAAAAGTAGAAAGAAACGTGCTGTACGAATTTATAACTTTATCGAGGAAGAGAACGGAGCTAAATAAGGGATAAAACAAAGTGAAACGCTTTGTATGTAAGCCCATCGGTACTCACTTTCATGTCAAGAAATCGCTATACATAACATATTTATAATTTGCTTTTTGCTGAATGCAAATATCCTACTAATCCGGGCGTCTTGTTAACGAGGTCGCTTTATTAACATCGCTCACCTCCGTGGTTTCTAATGTAGGCAGGAGAGCTGAAATGGATCCGAAGCTGCGCTGACAGGGGCAGTGACACCCGCTGATGGTGCGGGGCGACCTCGAAGGGCGGGGGCGGAGGCGTGGGCGGAGGCGGTGGCGTAGGCGGAGGCGGAGATGGAGGCGGGGGCGGAGATGGAGGCGGGGCGGAGATGGAGGCGGGGGCGGAGATGGAGGCGGGAGCGGAGATGTAGGCGGGGGCGAAGATGGAGGCGGGGCGAGATGGAGGCGGGGCAGAGATGGACGCGGGCAGAGATGGAGGCGGGGCGGAGAATGGAGAGGCGGGGCGGAGATGAGCGGGGGCGAGGGCGGAATGAGGCGGGGCGGAGATGGAGGCGGGGCGGAGATGGAGGCGGGGCAGAGCATGGAGCGGCAGAGATGGAGGCGGGGCGAGATGGAGGCGGGGCGGAGATGGAAGGGGGGCGGAGATGGAGGCGGGCGGAGATGGAGGCGGGGCGGAAGAATGGAGGGGGCGAAGATGAGCGGAGCGAGATGGAGCGGGGCGGAGATGGAGGCGGGGCGGAGATGAGGCGTGGGCGTGTCAGGTTGATCGCAGGGCGAGGAGAATGAGGCGGGTGCGGAGGATGAGCGGGGGCGGAGTGCGATCGGCCGAGTTGATGCGGGCGGAGGATGAGCGGGGGCGGAGGATGAGGCGGGCGAGGGGCGAGGCGAGCGGGAGCGAGCGAACGGAACCGCGCAACGACCGGTGATTGCGGGGGCGAAATGGCGCCCACTTGCGTCGCGGCGCATCTGCGCGTCACGCGCCCACCCGCGTGCTCCCTCGCCCACGCCCCCGCCCCCCCTCTCGCCCAGCGCGCACGACCCAAAGGCCCGGGCCTCTGTCCCCGGCCCGGCTTAGGTGACTCACTGCGGTGCCACGGATGCGACATCAATGGCGATGTTTTCAAAACATCGACGCTTTTTATAAAATGCCGATGTTTTTACATCTATGTTTGGTGTTCGATATTTTACGCGGTCGATATTTTTTTAAACGAAAAAGGTCATTGAAAAGAAAATTATATAATAATTTTCAGATAACCATAAATTGAATATCCTCAAACGAAAGGAGGAACTAAGGGAGAATAATAAATAAAATAGAGTATTTGTCAGTAAAGAAATTATTTTAATATCGAATTTAAATTATCGAATCAGATAATCCAAGTTTTGTTAATTGTCCTAATGTTTTATTTACTTTGTTTTGTCAGTTGAATCTCAATTAAATAGTAGTAATAGATACAACATTCAAATTAAATCCCCTCCCCGTTAACTTCAATGGTTACTAATTCAGTTTTAAAAACATCGATGTTTAATAACATCGATGATTTTGAGGCGATGTTTTATTAACATCGATGTTCAGTACTACCGATGTTTTGTGGCGATGTCGCATCCCTAGTGCCAATGACCGGGAGGTCCAAGGATTCCACTCCCGACGGGGGCACGAATTTAGACACTAGATCGAAGTCAGCCGCTGTCTGGAGGAGAATTCCAGCGGCTGGCTGCTCTGATCGGTAGATGTCCGTGGTTCCTTCAATCTCTGATCGGGCCAATCTATAGCTCCCTCATAGCAATTCATTGCTGATTCAGAACTAGTAGAGTAAGCAGCGAGCCACGGACTGTACGTGAACCTTTCTCTTCCTGTCCCCACTTCCCTTCGTAATCGGTCCATACACCTGCAAGCCCCACTGGCCACGCCTCTCTCGCGCCGGTTGTTCAGCTACGTTCCCAATTGGGCGAATGAAGCAGTTGGCAACGGCAACAAATTTGCAACCAGCAAAATCTTCGCTTCGTCGTCTACACAGACAATTTTTCTTCGTGTGTGCCAGGCGGTAGGCCGAGTTTCACTCACCTCGCCCATTCAAAGATTGCAAATCCGCTAAGTAATAAAATTATCAATAACTAAAAATCTTGTGAAAATGCCTCCATGTTTCCACTCGTCAATGATCGCAGATTAATTAAAGGTAAAAACTTTAGTAAGAGAGCCGTTTTAAATAGTTAAGCTTATCAGTGGAGTTGTGGCCCTCCATAACTCTGCCGGCTCGCTGGGCGTTACCCAAGTTTCCAAACAGGGCTTCAGAATTTTCTGATTGAATTTCTACTAAAGAAGAAGTTTCCGTACGGCCTTAATATATTGTCAGCTGTCTTCATAGCAAAAGTGTTTAGGTTGTTGCAGTCCTTCATAGATGTGTATCTTGTCATCAAATGAGAAATTCTGTACCTTTTCTTCGAAAGAATATTTTTGAACTGAAATATCAATGAATGAAAAGTCTGATTATCAAAAAACAAGATCTTTCATATCGAATTATAAAAATAAATAATCCTAATACAGAAATACATTTTTTATATCACTATTTTATTATTAATATATTGATCTTAATAAATATGTACTGTAAATAGTTGTATTTTCTTATGCAAATTCTCTTTGGCATTTAGAGTAACATTTTTAAAAAAATTTTGTTTCTGTATTGTGTTACATTACATTTTTATAATTTTTAATATTATAAAAATGTATTCCAGGCACTCTGAGGCTTTTTCTTTCCAATTTACAATGGAATGTTAATTGGTTGGGTTTGTAAATAAAGTATTGTTTTGTTTTTTATCATAGCAAATTAATATAATTTAAAACACAGGAACGAAGAATTAAAATTTTAAATATTAGTTGAAATTTAAGTCTAATCGATAGTTTATGTTTGTTGCGTCTTTTATCCAAATAGCGAATATGAGATTTTGTCGTAGGCGTATGGAAAATAGTTAAATATACTTTTGATTATAAAAAACACTTCAGAATTGTGAATGTTGGGTATGTAAAGAAAACATGTTTTAGGAAAGAGGGCTACGTCCAGATTTGGCTGAAATTTATTGGACTAGAGGAATGTTCAGTAACTACCGTAAATTACAAGTGTCGACATTTTGATGAGATTGATTTTTAAAAATATGTACGTATATTAGTAAATTATTGAAACCTGTTTCCTCAGAACTAAATTTTTTGCACATAGCACTCTTTACTCTTTACACAGACATTATGTGAATGAATAAAAGAAGTCATCTC